ACGTTTGTGAGGTGACAATACAATCGAAACTACAATATAGGATAAGGGGATAAGGCATGTTGATACACTTCCCAAAGGAAGAGGGGGGGGGGGCTAAGTTACAGAATAGTCGGGAAGGGATAGAAGGTACCGCTCTATTGGTCGGGAAAAATGTTCTAACTAAAAGTTGAGTAAACCAAAAATAAATAAATAAATAAATAAATAAATAAAAACCTTTCAAATTGATAGCTATGTGTACATCCCAGACACAAAGTTATTGGATCATGTTTTCTCTCTGTGTTATTAAGTTATCATTCCTAGTGTAAAGAATCTATAAACAAAAATTTCAAATCTATATTTTGAAAAGAATTAAGAAGAACTGTGCCAGAGATAAATTTTTGCTTTATATTTTTTTTTTTGTAATAGAGAGTTTCTTCTGGTGTTTTTAATACTTTTTGCCTCCGTTTTCCTTTCTTTATGTTTTTCTTTTTTCTTTATTTTGCTAAAGAAATAGCAAAATCTTCGAAATTTCTGTCTTAAAACTGTTGCAACGATGGGACAACTGTAGACGCTTCCATCCAGCGTCTCCAGATATTAAACCATTGATTTTCGTTCAAAGGCAGAGGTGTTGGTTGTGAAGATCATGATTACATTCAACGTACTCATATGACACTAGAATCGACAAGAAGGTTGCGTTTTATTTTACCACCTGACAAGAGCAGCAACTAAGCACGGCGATGTGTAATTCCATCTGCGTCTGTGGCATATCAATTCCATTATATCTTTATCAACATAATTATTGTAATCTTTACCGTTAACACGGCCAATGTTACATCATTGTCGGCCCAGTTAGCGCCATCCACCTAATAACCTTCATTAATGCCATTATTTCAAGTCTCAGATATATCAAAACACGGGCACGAATGTAATCATTTTATTTAATATTACCATTATTGATATTGATGATTTCATTATAATAAGTAGATGGCAGATGTATATTCAAATACACTAAGTGCAATGTCTAATCTGATCAAATCTAAAACTATTTATGTTGTACATCCACAACTAGAAGAAACAAGAGCCAGCACTTGTTTATAACAGGTGTCACACAAACACATGCTGAATTAGACAGTCTAACTTTAATGTTATTATTGAATATCGTAGACACATAACTTTCCTTCACTCTTCTCTTAATAACCTGGGATCATCATGTTTATATTATCAGTTCTGAAGATTCAAGCCAGAAAAGTGATGTAAAATTTCTGTAAGTCCTTTCTTTACTATTGAAAATTGATATTTGCATGCCAAATGAATATTTCAAACGAAAAAAAAAACAATAATAATAGAAAGACGATCAAAATATAATGGCAAGATATGTTTATTGATATTTATGCATAGAAAGAAATAAGCTGAGTCGAAAGAAAGACAACCACAAGCTGTCCGAGACATCAAAATATGGTTCAATTATACATGAAGATCTAGATGGAATCACAGAATTGTGTTTATCGACTCCATTGTAATCATTAGCTGAGTGTCATTTAGAACTTTATATTATATTATATTATATTATATTATATTATATTATATTATATTATATTATATTATATTATATTATATTATATTATATTTCGCGTGTCAGAATGTTGGGAATATCAGAGAGTAGCACTAAAGTAAAAGGTCTTATATATACTATATATGTATAATAATTCTATAGATATTGGGTAAAATGTTATATATCTTGCCCTAACCAAAATTCCTGAGATATAACTGAATATCAATAGTAAAAATTATGAAACAAGTAACAGTTTTAAATCGTATAGAAAATAACGAACCTCTTGAAAAGCACGCAAAAGATGCAATTTTACTTGATATATATAACTTTAGAAAAAAGCAAAGCCTTAAGACAATGGTAATAATAAAATTATGTAATAAGCAGAGATAGTTAACAGTAACGAAAACTACTTACACTTGAACACATATAGCAAAAAAAAAACAAACTTATTTTACACACCTGCGTGTTATAAGTTATAAAAGACGTGAAATTATTCAGAGCCTGCGATAAAAATTGATAGAACAGAACAACATATAAACGTTTCGTTTTTTTTTTCATTTACCATTGATTCAAGATGGCAGTGTTTACAGCGTACTAAATGTGTTATACATGTACGTAGGAGCAATGGAAGCTAGTGGTTTCCATATTAGATATAAGATGGAACAGTTTGAAAACTAATTGTAGGCTTTAAAGCCTATTGTGCCTGAAATAACAGCTGTTTATCCAATTTGGATCATTTTTAATTATTTTTTTTAACCTGCAGTGTGCAGAAACCCTTCCCACTTCATAGCGTGTGCAGACTTTTGAAAAAGATTATAAAACTGACCCCTTAGCAAATTTGACAATATTTGCTTGAAAAACAGATAAGTGAATAAACAAGTGACTAAACAGATAAATAAGTAAATAAATAGATAATTCATCAATTTTCCAATTTCCCCAGCAAAAACTACTATGCAGATAAGCCGGGAATGACTCAAGTACTCTAAACGAAGTACAAGGAAGAGCCACTTTAGATGAAGGCGATAAAAGGGGGGCAAATCCCCTCCCACTTACGTAACAGTCACAGCTTAGCGGCGTGAAAGCACGCGCCGACTATTATCTCTCCCCGCCCACTTAATTTATACCAATTACTGACCGGCCAGTCCATAGCGCACCACTACTTGCCCCAGTCCAGCCTGATTTCAATGTGGACCCGTGGATATTTTGTGGATATTTAAAAACATGTGCTTTTCAAAAAATGTATTGTTTCGCTTTTAACCTCTTTCCATAAAGTCTTAGATAATAGACTAAAGAGATATGAGGCTTATCAGACTGACCTGATGAAACTACAATTTATAAAAAAGCTATGAAGAAGTCTTTATTTTTACCTGCACATAAACCCTGCCTCAGTATTAACGGTAGACGGTAACTCTATTAAAGTGATGATTTGAAAGACCAAGAAAAAGGGATATTGTTTGAAACAATGTAAAGCATTTTTTTAAAATTTGGTATGGTTGAACTTACTATTTTAGACCACACGTATCGACCTGTTTCTAACATTTAATCTTACCTATCCTCCTAGCATTCGNTCAGATATCAGAATAATAGCTATAACAGCCGTTTTTGTGGGAAAACAGAATATATTATATTTTTATGAGTCACTCAAAATGTTTTTATTGTGAAATACAGATTTCATACAAAGAGTTATTATCCCTTTAAGATGAAGGCGATAAAAGGGGGGCAAATCCCCTCCCACTTACGTAACTGTCACAGCTTAGCGGCGTGAAAGCACGCGCCGACTATTATCTCTCCCCGCCCACTTAATTTATACCAATTACTGACCGGCCAGTCCATAGCGCACGACTACTTACCGCAGTCCAGTCTGATTTCAATGTGGACCCGGGGACATTTTGTGGATATTTGAAAATATGTGCTTTTCAAAAAATGTATTGTTTCGCTTTTAACCTCTTTCCATAAAGTCTTAGATAATAGACTAAAGAGATATGAGGCTTATCGGACTGACCTGATGAAACTACAATTTATAAAAAAGCTATGAAGAAGTCTTTATTTTTACCTGCACATAAACCCTGCCTCAGTATTAACGGTAGACGGTAACTCTATTAAAGTGATGATTTGAAAGACCAAGAAAAAGGTATATTGTTTGAAACAATATAAAGCATTTTTTTAAATTTGGTGTGGTTGAACTTATTATTTTAGACCACACGTATCGACCTGTTTCTAACATTTAATCTTACCTATCCTCCTGACACTTCCTACAACATTTAATATGCTAATTGAAATGGTTTAAACATCCTGTATTTATGTTTGAAAAGGTTAAGTATAAAATTAAAGATTAAAGGCTGGTGCTTCCTTCTCTTTCGATTTCTTCTTTATTTTTGTGGAATTTTAAATAAGATAGGTCATAGGTATTGAAATGGAAATAGACTTATTTTGTTTTGAGCAAAGTTGCGATGTTTGATATCCTCATATCTAAAGAGGATATTACTCAGGTCTATTTATTGTTTAGAGAATATTATTTATTTATTATTCAGGGAACATTACCTATTTATTTTTAAGAGAATACTATCTATTTAGTATTTAGAGAATATTTTTTAGCCTTAAATGGATTCAAACTAAAAAACATAGATAATGCTCTGAATTTTCTCAGTGTCATGAGGTGTTGCTATTTTCTTTTTGTTGAAAAAAATAATATAATAGTCGTTAGGCATTTATCCTGTGCTCCATGCTCTTAAGCCTTCTACATTAAAGTTGTCATACTTTTATACCACAGGGATATTTGATTATGTTACAAATATCATATAATAATAATAAATTATGACTATTTTACTATAATATCCAAGGAGCAAAGGGGTACTTGTTTACGTCTCGTTTTGCTTTCCACGCTAATTTTGGCACAGTGTAGATGGGGGGAGGGGGGGACTTCCAAAGCTACAGGGTGTCGTACTCTGTCCCTCCCTGCCTCCGCCTTGTCTGTGCCCCCACACCCACCCCCACCCACTTCAAATTTACCAACCTCATTCCTTTATTCCGCTACCTTTTTGAAAATCACCAGATACGTTTTCGTGAAGTCTTTCTATTATTTTCTATGTGTACGCTTGTATTACGTGTAAAACAATGGTGTTTGGGTGATATTTGGGATTTTTTTTGTATCAAAAAAACATCAACATATAGTAATTTTGTTGAAAGGATTTCAGTCCATAAGTTCATAAGTCTGAAGAACGCTGGCAGTTACGTTCTTTGCAGAAGGTTGCGACTATTTTTACACTACAGCGTGCGTGCTGTACGTACGGAATGAAGACTCTCTTTTTTGTCTTTGTTATAACCTTACATTTTTTACCTTGATGTTTAACAAAAAACTCTTTATTTCAACACCACGCGGCGCTAGCTCCGTCTTGTTTGACCTCGCTTCATGTCCAGACCTCTTCTCAAGTCTAGACCTAGATAATATTTTACCTGAATTCCAAATCTCTGTTATTTATGACCCGTGCTTGCATCTGCGTTCAGGACACGTCAGGACAATAACATTATGTGGTTTAAGGGGTACAGATCCATGCAGAGAACTGGCGTGTATATTTGTCGAGAGAGTCGTGCACGCCAGTTTAGTTTGTGACGCAACCAAATGCAATATGCGGTAATGGCCGTAACCTAACGCCGCAACAAAATCTATAAAACAGGGCGCGCTCAATACTCGCCATAGCCTTCGCCCTGGCCTTTATTTGTTTTCTTTTCTTTTGTCGGAGTCAGACTAAATATTCGCTTGACTGGATTTCAAATGTAATATTACGGAGGGGAAAGTATGGATAAAGGCTTTTCGAAAATGCCCAATAAGATGGACACGTGACATTAACAGTGACATGATTAAAATTAATTCACCCCGCTTATCAATAGACAGTTATTTATAGCAACTGCAGGTCAGCGCAATTGTCCAGACAACGTAATTCGTCCTTTTGGGATAGGTCAGTTCGGGTCATCGCGGTGGATGGACTGAGCGTGCAAGTGAGGGCAACGGAGAAAAGTAGCAGGTGCACTCGCCCATTTACCCAGATTGCAGTAGGAACGCCGCCATTTTTGTTGTTATTCCTTTGTCCACTTTGCTGCTGAGTAGCCGCATTTTCCAATGAAAACTCAAGCAGAATGTCGCGGCGAAAGCAGGAGAAGCCACAACATCGGAGAACCATCGATTCACGTGAGTTTAAAACAATTTAAAGGTGTATTTCAGTGTTTGCTGTGAGTTTAAAGGTTCGAAGTGTCCAGAGAGTGTGTGCCGAGGCGGTCACGGGAGGCCGGAGAGCGTTCAAGTGGCGCGATGTTACGTGGGCAAGGAAGTAGATGTTACAGCAGACACGGGGACAAAACATGAGCCGAACACTCGTCATATGTGTCAAAGAACAGGCCTTTAAGGCTGTCACGAGTTGTCAAGGCCAGATTTGGTCACTTTAGGGCTTTATCTGGCCAGTTGAGACGCGATACGGCGCGATGGGTTCACATAACGTCGCGAGTTTCATCTCTTTTTAAAAAACAAGACTTGTCGGGTCAAAATGGCGTTTGGGCTTAAAAAAAACATGTAGGAATTAAAGCTTGATTTTTACAGGATCAGTGTGTGTGTGTACATGTGTGTGTGTAATTTGTATACTTTTTGTGGTTTTCAGTGTTAATGTTATATACATTGATCTGGTAAATAATTGTCAAAAATTTACATCAATACATTTTCATTGAATTTTTTTTTTGTAAAAGAAGTGGTCTGTGAAATGTAGATTATCATTATTAAATTATTTGGATGTTAAATTAAATTCATTTGGTTCTAGTTTGATTTTTTCATTGTATTTACTTTAGATGCCCTCTCACACATTCACCATAATTTATATATATATCAATTGTTATAATGTGTAATAGAACTGACTGTTTGTTTACCTCATATGTTTGTACAGTTGTTAACTAAATTAATTTGTCTGCCCATTGCACAATAACTCATTTAAAGCAAAAAGATAATTAAGAAGAAGAATGATTAAAAAAAGATAATAAACTAAACAAAACAATACTATAGAAAATCTGAAGAAAACATTCAAACAATCACGGAAAAATATTTGTAGTAAAAAGCCAACTGGTTCCCATTACTGTAGCAATGCTGCTGCAATAGCAGGTGATGTTAAAGGGCTGATGACCTAGAATTTAAGGTTGGCAGAAAAAAAAGTCAGACAATTTAAACAGACACAAGGTCCTGGTGTACTGGCACTAGAGTATTACTAGTGTAATCTTTTGGATAAACACTGTCTGGCCCAGTCATAAGTAATTAAAATATCAAGGGTAAACTAGTACTAGAAAAAGGCTTAAAATATCAAGAACACAAGGAACCAGTTTTACTAATAGAAATAATTTATTTTCAAGTTGGCCTATATTTCTTACATTCCTTTTAGTAAATTTATTTTTATTTCACTTTAGAAGTAATTCCTTGTTTGCTGTTGCAATATGATTAATTTGAAAATTCTCACAAGTGAGCTTTACCAAAATTAAACCTTTAAAGCTTATCATTTTCTGCCATGTTTAAAGTAATTGGGCAGTTTTGAAAAATAACCGTTTAAAGGGATAAAGACTCACATGTATCTCAAGTTAAAAAAACATACTTCAGAAAATATCATTTGAGATAATATGAAAACAGTCAGGATTATCACAGGGAATACAAGGAGAGATTTTACCAGCATAGTGTAATAGGTTATGCACTTTAAATGTTTAATGGAGGCTCAGATATTGCCATGAATAATAAACTGTTGAAAGAAACTAACAGAGAAGATTTAAAATCAAAAATTCCAGATAAAGCCCACCTGTATAATTTGATATGATTCTCTTTCTGGTTCCATTTAATTTGCAGTTGAATAGTTTGAACAATGAGGTTTACTATTTTTTTGTATGCCTAGTTGAGGTTGTGTGATCCTCTCTATAAAAGAGAAGCTTGTTAGAGAGTTTAATGCCGACCATTTCTTTGTCTGAGAGCAGCATTAGCTGTCTTTGTTGCTTTGGGGGGAGGACAAAATTCACTGTCCATGCAATTCTTTCCAAGTCTTTCTTTCTTCCTCTAGTTCATTTGAGTAGATTACATTTGTAGTTGCATATGTTTACTGAAACAAAGTCACCACTTATTTCTTTGGAAGAAAATCATTCTGCTGGTTGTCATGGCAACTCTTGATAGAAGTGTGACTAATAGTATTATATCATTGTTGGTCACATCTGCCATAAAATTGAAAATAATGCTGTGAGTGGAATTTAATGAGCAAGAAGCTGTGGGGAGCTAGGATACAGTAGTTTCTACCTAAGGGCATTTTTTAATATTTGGTAGAAGTATTTTTTTCATTGTTCATTGTCACGCATAACCTGATATGTGATGATACTGAAGTTTGAAATTTTTTAAGATATCCTCTATTTGAAAATTGTAAATTTGAATATCTGAAATTCTTTTGATAAGAAAAAAATACAGAGGTAGCCATATATTCTTCATACAAAGTGACCAGTAATTGCCAAGGTCCATGTTTTTTTTTCTTTTATTATTTTTCTTTTATTTGTTTATTATTATAAATCTTATGGTATCATGATGAGATATCAGTGTCATGTTGTATGATTCATTTTTTAAATTCCTAGAAACTCGCTGCTTTTTAAAAGCAAAATCTAAGAATCAGGAATCTCCAGACAGTGATCAATTTTTAATGTTGTTATAATAAAAATGATGATTATAATTATTCTTAGTTGTTAGCAGAATTGTTCCATTCAGTTCAGGTGTAAAACCTGCCAGTCAACCAGTTTGTTCTCTCACAGATAAAAGCAGTGTGTGTTGTTATATAGGGCACTCAGGTTTGTGATCTTGCTGTTTCTAGTTTTCAGGTAAGGCTAGGAAGGGTTGCACCAGTACATGGCTGCTGCCTTTACTGCCTCCTTTCTAAACGGACCTCTGAGTTCATGATAGAACCAGCTAGGCCTCTGTCTCTTGCTTCACCTTGGCCCCCAATCCCGTTTCCATCAGGCCAGTTGAAAAAAAAGAATTTCAGACAACTCTCAGAGTTCATATTCCCAGAAATGCTAATTTATTAAATAAGGGTACCAGGATCCGGAGTGTGTTTTATAATGTTATATCATTGGCACAGCATGCTGCAGTCGAGCTGTTAGGGATCTATTTTTTGGGGCTGGAATTATGTCACGCATGAAGGTGATCCGAGGTTGTGTAATATAAACCTCTACGGGGTCATTATTTATATTAGCTTTTTGGACTGGCATGTGTAGCTTGGTAACCAAAATACCAACCTGGATACAGGGGCCGCGGTCTGCTACAGCAGACAGGGCTGGCTAGAACAAGCGCTACAGTTTTTTTTCTTCCTCTTTTATGCTATGTGTATGAAAAATAAAATTGTCAAAGAGGAATATTGTTCATGTGGTTGGTTGATGTTGGCCTTCATTAAGAGGTGAATCTATTGTAATTCCATTCTCACCTTGTGAAGATTAAACATACTGCGAATTTTTTTCTTTGATAGTGAGGTGTTAAATGCAAGGGTTGTGAGGTCAAGGAGAAATAACTTTCTTGAAAAACATTTAAGAAATGCTGAAATATCTTTTGTCCACTTAGTCACTGGTCATTTTCTCTGGTGATTTTCTCTTTAAGCATCTTTTAGATCACCTTTTCATTGGTAAAATATGCTTTTAAATGGACAAGTTAAAAAATCTTGGACGTAGGGTCAGTTTTTGTCCTCTGGTCATTGTCCGTTTTGCAGTCGCTGTGACGAGAAGTTGACCGTGTGCCAGCGACAACATTTCGGGTCAAAGGGAAGATTGTGTACATATACTTCTGCCCCCAGACCAGCTTATGGACGGAGGTTTTAATATGTGTATTTTTCATCCTCGACAGAATACAGTAATTTAGGCGTGAGGTAATTTTTTATAACCCTTATACAATTGAGGAACAAAGAGCCGGGGTAGGCTGCTGGCGAGAGAGCTGCAATCTGAGCTGGCCAAGACATAGGCTGCAGTATGCATTGGTTCTACCTGACCTATTCATGAGTAAATAAAAAAACCAGTTCTTTTCAAAGTCTGTCTAGCAGTTACACCACATTAGAACATGCACTGCGGGGATTATGCTGACTGACTAGCTGACCTTTCACGCACTTTCGGGTCAATCCTCGACCAATGAGAACTTACATCTCCTTTCTCGGGCCAAAGCCAAGGACTGCCTCGGCTGGAAGATTAAAACATGTAAAAGGTTGAAAGTCAGATTGGGCAAAAAGATCTAGGTCAGCTTGTAAGGAAAAAATATACATGCTGTTTTAAATAACAGGGGTGGAATCCTTGGATGCTGCCATGCAGAAAAAAAGAAATTACGCCTGAGTTATATCATGAGGGGATGGCGTGATGCAATAGAGGTTGACCTTTTCCTTAGTGGTCGATGAGTGATGTGAGATGCTGTGCCAGCCTGCTTAACCGGTCCAGTGCTTGCTGGCATTTTTTAAGCAGGAGGCCATGCCAAATTCTTAAGTCAACACAACGCTGTCTTGCATAATATTGCCTGGTTACCATCTATTACATTGCTCCAAAGGTCATGTCGGGAAATATGGAAGGGCATTCAAGATTGTTGGCCTCTGCTTGGGCAGGGGGTTGTTTATTAAAAGAATCGTTTTTTTGTGGCTGGGTCTGTAGGTATATTGAAGCCAGCGAGCAGTACTTAATTATTCAGAGCGTGGTGTGTATGTGTGTGTGTGCGTCTAATGGCGCAGGTGCTAGGCTAAGGGATGAGATACCAGCATGGCGGCCAGCTCCACGCCTGCGATTACAGGGCTACTGTGACGTGGCATGCGCCAGCATCTATTTCGCAAAAATTGCGCTGCAAGCATTATTATCACAATTTTCTTTCTCATGGTAGCTTTTGAAAATTTTTTATTTTGATGCTAGGATCTATTAACCATTGAAATGAATTCTTGGACTTGGACACTAAGGATTTTAGAGTCAAAAGTCTGCAGTGATACAGCAAATAAAATCAACCTGCCATTTTATTGTATTTGTTTTAATCTTTTACGGACAAGGGGAATTATTTTTAACTTTTGATGTTAAATCAATGTCTGATTCCTTCTCAGAAAAGTTACCTTTTATTAACTTTTCAACAGATACATTTCCCTGTGTTTTCATCAGTGGTTACATTTCCAGATGAGTTGACAG